CATCTACAGTTACACTTCCTCCCATGGGACAGACTACTAATTCCCACACATCCGGGTCCTTGAATTTCACTACTGATGAGGTAGAGGTCCTTAGCCGGGCCTTAACCCATCTAATGACTAATTTCCTTGCTTCCACCTCTCTTGCCAGATCAGGTATTGTCTCTGCTTGTAGTGCAACTAGTTCTATATAGTCTACTTTTTGGATTATTGATTCCGATGCAACTGACCACATGACACACATGTCCTCTTTATTTTCTTCTTATCATTTGATGTCTAGCCAAGATAAAATGAGAGTTGTTGATGGTTTTCTCTCCACTATCTCTGGGAAAGGGGGGTTGACCTAAGGAAGGACCTCTCCCTTAAATCTGTTCTACATATTCCCAATCTTACTTCCAACCTCTTGTTTGTTTCGAAGCTTACCAAGAATTTAAACTGCAGCATAACTTTCTTTCCTACTCGTTGTGTCTTTCAGGACAAACTGATGAAGAGAATGATTGGAAGCGGTCATGAGTGTGGAGGTCTTTACTATTTTGATGCAGACATCAGTTCGGCCTTACAATCTTCTACTGCTAGTAGTCAGAATAATGGGGAGTCAATAGCTAGGTTACACTTGTGGCATGCTAGGCTAAGTCATTTACCTTTTTCGTCATTGCAAGGGTTGTTTCCTGAATTATTCAAGTGTGTTTCGGGTCAAAGTTTAGTTTGTGAAGTGTGCCAATTGTCAAAACAATGTAGAACTCTTTATCCAATTTCTAGTAATGGAATTCAAACTCCTTTTGATTTGGTCCATTATGATGTTTGGGGCCCTTCACCTCTTGTTTCTGTAAATGGCTTTCGTTACTTTATTAGTTTTATTGATCACTATTCACGATGCATATGGATCTACTTGTTAAAAGGACGTGATGAAGTGTCACGGATAACCATGGCATTTTGTAAAATGATTGAAACTCAATTCGACAACAAGATTAAGCAATTCCGTTCAAACAATGCTGTTGAATATTTTGAGAGTTCCTTGAACCTGTTCATGGAGGATGCAAGAATGCTACACCAGTCATCTTGTGCTAGTACCCCTCAACAGAATGGGGTTGTTGAGTGCAAAAATAGACACTTATTGGAGACAGGTTGAACTTTACTATTTCAGCACAAGGTTCCCAAGCACTATTGGTCTCAAGCAGTCCTTACCGCATCATATCTGATAAATCGGATGCCATCTAAAGTGTTGGGTATGAAAACTCCTTTCTCTGTCCTTTGCCATAATCTTCTAGACTTTCCTCTTCCACCTAGAGTCTTTGGTTGTATATGTTTTATTCATGTAAAGGATCCAAAGAAGACCAAGTTGGATCCTAGGGCTATGAAAGGAATCTTTCTAGGGTACTCTCTTACACAAAAGGGTTACAAGTGTTATGATCCAGTTACCAAGAAGAAATACGTCACAAAGGATGTGGTATTTTTTGAGTCTCAATCCTATTTTCATTCTTCCTAAAATCCTCTTAAGGGGGAGACTAGTGGGATGGAAGAGGATTCTTCATCTCCCTCTTTTTTTGTGCCTATTTCAGCCTCGGGCCTTCCATCTTCTCCTCTTGATCCTCCTAGTTGTAGCACCCCAGGTGAATCTAGTGAGGCTCCCATTGAACCTGTTACCACTCTTGATACTGCAGATGTAACTGAGGACACTAATAGGCAACAAAAAGATACGAGAATCACCTACAACAAAAGAAAAAAAGACCCTCCAACTCATGGCAACAACCAATCGGACTTGGATGAATCTGTCTCAACAACTCTAGGTAATCTTATCACTCATACTTCTGATTTGGATCTCCCTATTGCTCTTCGTAAGCCTACCCGTTCTTGTGTTATCTGACACCTCATTGCTGAGTATGTTTCTTATTCACATTTATCTCATTGTTATTATTCATTTGTGTCTGCTCTCTCTTCCGTGCATGTCCCTACTAGGTACTCAGAGGCAGTGTCTAACCCAAGATAGAGAGAGGTTATGAATGAAGAAATGAAAGTCTTAATGAAAGACAAGACTTGGAAATTAGTGGATCTACCAAAAGGGAAGAGCACTGTGGGATGCAAGTGGGTGTTCACTGTGAAGCATAGAGAGGATGGGTCCATTGAAAGATACAAGACCAGACTAGTGGCGAAGGGGTTTACTCAAAAGGAAGGGATTGACTACAAAGAGACTTTTGCTCTAGTTGCAAAGCTCAACACAATCCAGGTTCTATTGTCATTAGTTGCAAACTTCTCATGGGAGCTATGTCAGTTGGACGTGAGGAACGCTTTCCTAAATGCCGATCTACATGAAGAGGTATTCATGAATCCTCCACCAGGTTATGGTTTTGATGGAAAAGTATGTAGACTAAGGAAAGCATTATATGGTCTTAAGCAGTCCCCTCGATCTTGGTTTGAAAAGCTCTATGGGGCCATGAAGAAAGTGGAATACATTCAAAGTGGTGCAAATTATACTTTGTTCATAAGGAAATAGGATAGCAGACTTACGACACTCATTGTCTATGTGGATGATATGGTGATTACAAGGAATGACCTAGAAGAGATAAAATGATTAAAGGAGTCTTGGCATCTGAGTTTGAGATCAAAGACTTGGGTCATCTGAGATACTTCCTTGGAATTAAAGTTGCTAGGTCACAAGAGGGCATTTATATATGTCAACGGAAGTACATCCTTGATCTTCTAGAGGAGACAAGTATGATGGGGAGTAGACCAGCAGATACTCCAATAGAACATAATCATTGTCTATAGGAATCAGTTGGAGAGGACTACCTTGATAAAGAGAGATACCAAAAACTGGTAGGGAAATTGATATATCTATCTCTCACTCGACCAGATATTGCTTATGCCGTACATGTTATCAGCCAGTTCATGCACTCTCCAAAGATTTCTCATATGAGAGCAACGGAAAGGATTCTTAGGTATTTGAAGACTGACCTAGGAAAAGGAATTTTGTTCAAAAAACACAATAAAATTGAAATTAAAGCGTATACTGATGCAGATTGGACTGGTTCTGTTGGAGACAGGAAGTTTACTTTTGAGTATTGCACGTTCGTTGGAGGAAATTTGGTTACATGGCGAAGTAAAAAGCAGAATGTGGTTGCTAGATCAAGTGCAGAGGCTGAATATCGAGCTATGGCTCATGGTGTTGCTGAACTGTTGTGGCTTAGRACCCTTCTTGGTGAGCTCGGGATAAGGGTCGAGTGTCCTCTCAGGTTGTATTATGACAACAAGGCTACTATCAACATTGCAAATAACCTAGTGCAACATGATAGGACGAAGCATATTGAGATTGACCGACACTTCGTTAGAGAATGGAGTCTCAGGGGAACTCTGCATTCCTTATACTCCTTCCGAGATGCAGATTGCAAATGTGCTAACAAAAKGACTAGCTTCAATGAAATTCTYAGACTTACTTGGCAAGCTAAACATGACTGACATCCATGCTTAGCTTAAGGGGGAGTGTTGGTTCAATTGGTTTAGTGTTTATGTTAGTCTTATTTATGTTTTAAGTTCTTGAGCTTATTATGGGCCTTAGTTATTAGGCCTAAACTTGTTTTATTCTTTTTTATGTCTAGGTGTCCCATCACTAATCAGGGGCATTCTAGTCTTTTCTTGTAATATTACTTTATGAATACTTATATAAGATCATAGGGCCGGGTAAAGTGACTAAGCCGCCATTCTCAGATCTCCTTTTTTCTTCTTCTTCTTCGACTGCTGTTCTCCAACAAACACAGTTATTGCAAATCATTGCGTTATATTCATTGATTGTAATCGTTGTCAAACACTCCATCATCAATTGTAATGGCCATGAGCCTATATAAGTGAAACCCATCAATAAACAAGGGCATTGAATGATCAAACATTTTCTTCTTCCTTATTTGGCATCCTATAAATTACTGAAAACCCTCTTTGAGTGGTGCTCCAACACTATAGCTCGAGTGTTGACATGTTTCAATTTCCAATAATGAGAAAAAGATCATATCAGTGTGTTTGTCTGTATATGTGTGTTAGAGAGAGATGAGAAATAAAGACAATAGAGGACATGGATGAGGGGAAAGACCATTGGCAAAGGAGTCTTTGATTGGTCCAAATTAACCCATATTTATTACAAAATTTAAACCAGTATATTTAGTTTATAAACAGTCACCAATCATTATAATATAAATTCAAAAGAGTTGATTATGACTAGAGTTTGGGTTAGTGAGTTCTTATTGTAACTAGGTATCTATTTCTCTAACATAACTAAGACCATTAATATTGAGCTTTCAGCAGCGGCAACAATTACCAATTAAAAGAGGAGAGTCTTGGCATTAGACCTGGCAATTGGGTTGGGTGGGTCGGGTTCGGGTTGGGTCAAGGTACTTTGGGTTGATTTCAGGTCAGGTTGAATTTTGGGTTGGGTTGTCAAATGCTAGACCCTAACCCTAAATGTTCGGGTTACGGTTAACCCATGGGTCAATTCAGGTCATCCCAAAAAATAATTGAAATTTAAAAAAATAAAGAAAAATTACATAAAAAATGTCAAAATTAAAAGAATTAACCTTAAAATTCCAAATATAAAATAAAAAGCTTGAATATTTAACAATTTAAAGAGTAAACAATAAAAAGTAAAGACTAAATAGAAAAAATTTTAGAGTGAAAACTTCTAACAATGAATAAATAATCCCAATTAGACTTGACAATCGGGTCAGCGGGTTGACCCATGACCCAACCCAGTTTTTTCGGGTTGGGTTATTTTCACATTCGAGTAGCTAGATATGAGACCCTAACCCTGTTTTTTCGGGTTGGGTTGGGTCGGGTTGGGTCAACTTTTTGCCAGGTCAACTTGGCATTATTGTCACTCTTCAACACATGAATTGAACCATTTCTTAAATCGGACAGTCATTTTCATTTATCCAATGGTTTATTCTAATTCTTTAACACAACCATTTAAGTGATCAGTCACTTTGCTCAAGCTTATTTATTGAAAATGAGACTCTTAAGATGTTCCTCATAATTAGATCAGTTTCATCCAAATCAAGCAATACAGTTCTAAGTTCTACCCCCTAATTGTCTATCCTGAATCACCAGTCATATGTAACTAATTCCATGAAACCAATGCAAAATACATGCTCTCTATTTCAATAGTATAGACACACATTAAGGCACTCAACTATTTGATTCTCATGTAATCTATTTAGGGGAAAGGGTTACAAGTCCATGAATCTCATCAACATAGAGCTGACTGACATCATAAATCAAGATCCTACAGAACCACCTGCACAAATGAAAAGAGAAAAAAATGATAAGCTAATAATATTAGTACATTAGTCCAATGATTTACACAGGGAAATTACAGTTTAAGACTGACATAAATTGGGCAGGAGATAAGATAGTCTCCCCAGTAAAAGTCCCTTTTACTTCATTTTTGAAAACTGGACTCGGTGTCAAGGTTCCTTGCTACAGTGAGACAAACTGAATCACATAGAGTAGGTTTATTATCATTGGTCAAGAAAAAATGGCCAGATAAGAACCACATTTAAGAAGTGGATAATCTGCATTTGAAGAAGAAAAATAGAGGATCATATTTATTTTCTTATGCCCGTCAGTACATGTAGAAAACATGCAGGTGAGAAGGATCCACCATTTGATGTGTGACATGTGTCCCACCAAGGACTCACTTGGGCTGAAAATGGAGTCAAGTGGTTATTTCTTTACTTTTTGACAAGTTGGAAAAGAATTGATGAAATCCCTGAAAGAAAGAGCAATGAAAAGCTAATGATAATCGAACTAGGTCCTATTTTTTCCTAGGAGATTCTCTTGGTGGGACTTAAAGCCTGCCAACCCTTTGGCATCATTGAAACTCTACAATTCCTGTTTGGTCACAATATCATTTCATAACATAGCTAACATGCAAAAATTATACATTCTAAATCTAACTGCATACTGACCTCCTTCACCCCTCATTTCCTCCTCTGATTTCCAGACAATATCTTTCAGTCCAGTTGAGATGTTCTTGTAAAACTGAAAAATATCTTTAGTCAAACTTAAGATTTTATATGTCAATAAATACTATGCTAGATTATCCCTATAGATTCCTGACCAATGTTTTAAAACATGGAGGCATGATGCGAGGCGTTCCACTACCTAGAGAAGTGAGGCATAGTTCAGAATGTAAGAGGTGTAAGCCTCCCGAACACAAAGAGGCGTAACCCTCCTTAAGAGGAGAGAGGGGGATGAGGAGGAAGGAGGAAGAAGAGGAAGAAAAATCTCATTTTTCTTTATTTTTAATAAAAAATATTTTATATTAAGAAAAATGAAGATGCATGGCCCTAATTGAAGATGCCCACTTTCTTTCCCCTTATCTTCCCTTCCCTTTCCTTTTCTTTCTTTTTCTTCCCCTTCCCTTTCTTTTCCTTTCCTTTTTTTCTCTTTTCTTCTTTCTTTTTTCTTTTTTTTTTCTGTCATTTTACATGAGGCGCATGAAGCATACACCTCTAGCATGCCTCATGAAAAAAGCATATGAGGTGTATGCCTCAGAGGTGTCAGTGCCTCTGGCATATGCCTTTTGGGGGCACCTCGCCTGGAGGTACGCCTCCCACGCCTTTTAAAACACTGGCACTGACTATTTTAATCTCTTTTGAATCATGCATTTTAAAGCCAACCAACAATGACAGATTAATGTATTATTGGGGTTTCTTTCCTTTAGTTAGTAGATATAATAATGGAATCAACATTTACAATCAAAAAGTCACTTCCTATAACTGTAAGTTTAAAATACCATACGTTGTGAAATTCCAGAGTATCTCCACCTGACTTCCGGAGTTCAACCATGTAAAGTGAAGGAGCTACCTCAAAAATCTGTGGGACAGTAGTAGAGGAAATAAATTAGATTTTACATCCATGGATCAAATTTAACAGGTCCGATGCAGAATTCATGTCCTATCAGTAAGGGACCGTTTGGTTTGCAGGAATAGAGGTCTGGAACCGGAATTGGAACTGGCCATTCCGATTCCAACTGTTTGGTTGGGTGGAATCGGAATCCCATTCCCATTCCTAGTGGAACGGCATTACCCTATTTGAGGGAATAGTCATTCCCTCCCCCTCCCTTGGGAATGAAATCCCATTCTAGCTGATTCCAATTCCTGTCTAAACCAAACAGACTATGGGAATGGATCATTCAGAATCTGATTCCAAAGGATTTTGATTCCAATTCCGACTATGAAGCAAACAAACCCTAGGTAATTCCTTGCACTTGAGATTGATATGAGTACCTCTGTTGCAATGGATAAATGGCCTTTCCGTCCAGTTTTCTCCCCTTGAAGCTTCATCTGGAACAAGAAAAACAAAGGGCAGGATAATGTTAGGGTTTCTGAACATTGCCATTGTTTAATTTCTATGCTCTTCAGTTGTACCCCCAGCACCTAAATTGAGAGGGGTTAATTTAGATCATGAACATTTTCCAATCATGTTCAGTCCAGGAAACAAGTACCAGAAAGCAACTGAAACAAGATTTTACAGCCTTCCATGGGAAAAAGACCAAGTTCAGCTGCATTTTGTTTCTCCAGACAAATATTTACAAATTATAATGATGAAGTAACCCAGCAAGGCAGAATAGAGATGATGTATATTTCAAGTAAGATAGTCACAATTCAATGAATCCAAATTCTTTATATCTCTAGCAATTTTGCAAATTTTGTCCTAAATACAATTCATTGGAACATTCCTTTCAAATTTATAAAACATAGAAAAACTTTGGCTGTTTGGAAGAAACGCAGCTGGGCTGTTTGGGAGCTTCCTGCATATGACACATTACAAGGAGATGGGGTAAAAGAATATTTGCAACCAATACTTTTTTAGTCAAAAAGACAAGGAACTGAGTGAGATAACATGTTGTGCAGAATAAGATCTAAAACAGCCCATTACTGTGAAATGCACCTTGAACCATAACTGTTGCACCCCTGATTAAGAGATTTCAATTTACAAAGGATATAGCTATCATTTACATTCAAAAACAACTAGTTTGAATACCCTGATTTGTCAAACTTAATTAATACATGGTAAAGAAGTCTTAATGTGGAATGGACTGCAGGTCACATTGTATTTAAAATATTGCAGATATAGAGGAAGAGGAGCTTAGAAGGTAGCTGGCAAATTTGATTAACAAAGAAAATATATTCTAGAGGCAGAACCCTAGAGCCATTTGGATTAAAGCAGCAGATAGAAATTACAGATTTTTCCACACAATATGCAAGGGCTAGAAGAAGAAATAGTACAGGGCAACTAGGGAGAGATTTTTTATATGAAATAGGAAATAAAAGATGTCATTAGAAATTTCTTTATTAAGCTCTATACTGCATTACCAAGAAGAGCCTATTTTCTTGGGAGATTTAGCTCTTGAGGCTCAAAAGAGAAAAGGAAGAATGGGTGGAAAGAAGATTTGAAATAAAGTGTGAATAGGGCCTTAATAGCTTCCTTTTTAGTGATGGTTATGAAAATTTTTAAGGTGCAAAGAGCTAAAATCAAGGTGATCCTCTATCACCATTGTTGCCCATGTTTGTGGTAGAGGTGTTGGGTAGGCTGACCTCAAGAAGTGAGGAAGAGGGTCCCACTGAAGGATTTAAAACAAAATCAAGAAGGTATGGTCACAGACAACTTCAGTACGCAGATAGTGGTAGTTTTGGAGACCTATTGAAGAAGAGTTAAATTTGAGAGCTATCCTAAAAGACTAAATTATTATCAGGATTGAAGTTGAACTTGAACAAGAGCATAAAGATAAGGAAAGGAATATCGATTCATTGTTGCCGGAAAATTGTGTGGCAGTTTTTGATTGTATGGTGAGAGACTTGCTCTTCAAGAAAAATGTTACTTCTAAACCAGTTTAGAATTTTTTTATAGTGTACAAGTTTAGGGGCATGTGCAAATGTACATGCAACATGCAAGAAAGAAAACAGAGGGGGGGGGATCAAACTCAAGACCTAACATTCCAAAAGATGATTGCCACTCGCTATGAATTAAGTTACACTCAACTTTGGGAGTCAATTGATGCTTCTCAGGTCCAATACTTGGAAAAATGACTTGAGGAAGATGAGATCAAGGAAGCAATTTTTTCTATGAATAGATCTAAGGCTCCAAGCCCAGATGGATTTACAATGGCCTTTTATTAAGGTTGTTAGAAGATAATTAAACTGAATTTGCTTAGAGAGTTTAGAGAATTCCATGAGAGGGGTATAATTGATCCGAGAATGAATTCTACCTTTATCACCCTAGTGCCAAAAAAGTCTAATGCTACTCACCCTAAGAATTTCAAACCAATCAGCTTGGTTACTAGCAATTTATAAAATAATTGCTAAGATGTTGTCTCTAAGGATTAAGAAAGTTCTTCCTTCAATCATCTCTCATTACCAAGGAGACTTTATTCAATATAGACAATTTGTGAATCAAATTCTCATTGCTAATGAATGTGTGAAGGCCCAGAAGAGATCTAAGAAAAAAGGGTGTGGCAATTAAGTTGGACCTAGAGAAGGCTTATGATCAAGTGGATTGGGAATTTTTAATTAACATCATGAGATCTTATGATTTTGGAGATTTGTGGTGTAAGTGGATCAAAGGTTTCTTACAAACAGTCACTTTTCAATGATTGCGAATGGTTCGGTGGTGGACATTTCTGAATCACTTAGAGGGATTAGACAAGGAGATCCCCTACCCCTCACCTTTTCATTTTGGTGGTAGAGGTTCTTAGTAGGTTGATTGCTAGGTCTATATAAATGCACTTCCTTAAAGGTTGGGAGGTGGGAAGAGATAGAGTGGTGGTCTCCCACCTCCAGTAGAAGACGGAATTTTCATTTTTTGTGATAGGGAAAATGGGACGGAAAATTTGAAGCTAGTATTGAGCCTTTTTGAAAGATGTCTAATTTAAAAATCAATTGGAACAGAAGTGCAATGGTTGGTTTAAATGCAGAAGAAGAGGAGCCAGACTCATTTGCAGAGATTTTGGCATGTGAAAGAGGGGAGTGGCCTCTAAAATATTTAGGTTTACCCCTTGGTGGAAACCCAAGGTCTATAAGCTTTTGGAATCCAGTAGTTGAGAGAATTGAGAAAAGATTAGCTGGTTAGAAAAGGAATTACATTTATTCAAGGGGGGAGAATCACTTTGGTAAAATCAACCTTGGCTAACCTCCTTATCTACTTCATGTCTATTTTTAGGATGCCTTTAACAGTTGTGAAGTCGATGGAAAAGTTGATGAGAGATTTTTTGTGGGAATTGAGAAACAATAGAAGGATCATTTGGTTAGATGGGAGAAGGTGGTGAAAAGGAAAGAAGAGAGTGGGTTGGGTCTATGTAACAAAAGTAAGAAAAACCTTGCTCTTCTAAGTAAGTGGTTGTGGTGCTTTCCCATAGGGAATGACAGATTGTGGCATAAAGTGGTTTCAAGTATTCATGGGCTTGCTAGGAATGGATGGGATGTTGGTATTTTGCAAATGGTTAATCTTTCTACACCATGGAAAGCAGTGCATGGTATTCTTCCTCAATTCCTTGAGCATGTCAGGTATGACCTGGCTTCTAGTAATAGGATAAGATTCTGAGAAGATGTCTGCATCGAGGATATCCCCTTGAAAGATATGTTTCCCTCTCTTTATGCTCTCTTTAGTCTCACAGAGAACTTGTGTCTAAATTCTTCGGGTACCCCCCTCCCCTAGGGAGGGTTGGAATTTGGGGTTAGTAAGAAACCTTAGAGAGTCAAAAGTTTCATCAGTGTGTAACCTGTTAAACATTCTAGATGGCCTTGTCCTTGATGATTTAGGGAATGACATAAGGGTTTGGTTTCTCAATCCCTTTGGTCCATTTCCATCCCCATTCCTTTCCTATGAAAGAAGTTTTGTGTGCCCCTATCCCCCCGAAAGTCAATGCCTTTTGTTGGGAAGTTTATCATGGGTGCACCGACACGTGTGATATGCTACAAAAGAAAGGCCAAATTGGTGCTTGTCTCCTAATTGGTGCATTTTGTGTAAGTTGAATGGTGAGAGTGATTGCCATCTTTTAATCTCTTTGTCCCTTTGCTTCTTGTAATTGGGAATGGTTTTGCTCTCTTTTTGGTTGCAGGTGGACCCCTCCTGTCAGCTATAAAGGGCTCTTTAGCCCATCTTTTCTAAGGAGAACAAAGAAATGAGGTAGAATCTTATGGAAGTGTGCAAGGGCAGTAGTGGTGTGGTCAGTTTGGGAGGAAAGGAACTTAAGAATCTTTGAGGAGAGAGAAAGAAATAAGGAGGGAATATTGGAGACTGAGACTGTAAGAGTCGCAGACTGGGTGAAAACATTGAAATTATTCTCAGATTTCTCAATGGAAGACTTTTTTTGAAACTAGAGGTCAATTGCCCTTTCTTCCTCTAGGAAACAAAAGATCCTGGAGGCTCGGTGTCCCCCAAGTGGTGGGTGGATGAAGTTGAACTTTGACGGAAGTAGTTTTGGTAATCTGGGACCTTCAAGAATTGGTGAAGTGATTAGAGATGGGAGTGGGAATATTTGTGGTTCGTTTTCAGGGACCATTGATCAAGGTGATTCAATGAGAGATGAATTCATGGCTGTTATTGTTAGGGTGCAAAAAGCTAAGGGCATGGGAATTACAATGCTGATTGTTGAAGGGGATTCAAAAATAGTCATTGATTGGTTGAAAAAAGGAAAAGGGGTACTATGGAAATTCAGAAACGAATTCAGGAGGTTCAAGTTTCTGTCAAGAAATTTGCAAATTCATGTAAGGTGTATTAGGAGGTCTGCTAATGGTTTGGCAGATGGATTAGCCAAGCAAGGAGTACATAGACATCATTTGTTTTGGGCTCAATGTTAATTGTGTGGAGGGGTTTTTTTTTGTAAAGGTTTCTTATCATAACAACTTCTTGTTGTATCCTCTTTTTCTTTAAATCTCAATAAAATTTCTTTAGTTGTTGATAAAAAAAGACAGTGTCTTTCTTTATTGGAGGCAGAGGGATCTATCTCACCTTGTAGTTACTTTTCTTCACATCAAATCCCAAAGGCATGGCTGCTTCCTCGATTTTAGAGATTATCTCATTTGCTGGGCACTTGGATGTAAATCTTGTTTGCCGCTTAACGAGTCCCTACCAGAGATAATTAGATGTTTTAGGAATCTATGAAAACCATAATGGTCAATTAAGAGCCAAAGAGTCCAGCAACAATGTCATTAATGGCTACAAATTATGCAAACTCGTTAACCATTCCCATCAATATACAAAATAATCAACTATTGTCCATTATTATTTTTTCTAATCCAAGAATTCCTGGTTTTCTTTTCTCTTCCACATCTGAATCTTAGCACCAATGTCAGGTTATGATGCCATAATTGTAGGCTGGATATGGACCTAACCCTTGCATTTTTTTGCACAAAATGGATGCTCTCAGATTCAAACATGCATTCTAGTTATATTTGTCAGCCTGAGATGGTTCTACCATTGCACCAATTAAATGGTTTGTCCAATAGATGGTTTTTAAAGTCACAAACAAGTCATATAATGATAAAAGTCTACCCACTTGTAGATTAAAGTCTTACAAGTTATTTGATTTTCTACATGATGCCCAAGGACTGCAAATTTCATATTTAAAGATGCAACATATAATGTCAATGGTGTCATCATGTTTGATACCCAATGTTTTAAGTTACACCTTAAAGATATGCTACAAATCAGAAGAGCATACCATCTGTTTTTCAAATAAAGAGCTGAGATTCAGACCCTGAGAGGTGGAGATAAGTTCAAATGCATTCATTGTGAGTGGCCTTTCTTCACGCTGCTCAACGACAAGGTTTTTACAGTCCTATTGGGAAAAAGAAAAGGCACTAGAGAGTGAATTCTACTAAAACTGATGCTTCCTCCAACAATACCACATCACCACTATATTTTCTTAATGTCAGTTTTGAAGTATGCAAGAATAATTACCCCAGACTCATTAAAAATAGCATCCACATCAGCAAGACTAACATCTTCTGATTCAAAGACTGGTGGCTTATATCCTTTCTTAAACCATTCATTTCCTATGACCTCGGAGATTGAGATTCTCTGTTTCAGATCATGACAAGGCAATATATAAAACTATAAGTGATTGAGAAATTATGGGATATGAAATTCAAAAGGGAGATTAGGACTCCAATTTGAAGAATACATTCTGACAAGATAATACATAACAAAGTAAAAAAAAAATGAAACAAAAGGCATACCGTCTCTGGATTGGGGTCAAGAATCCTTTTGATTAGTTTCTTTGCACTTGTTGAGAACCATGAAGGGCAATTAAAATCAGCCTTAAAGATCTGTAGTCATGTGAGGCACATGTAAAGACACGTTTCATGTTTACTACATGTAAAGACATGTTTCATGTTTACTACATTAAAAATATGCACAACGAGGTTATACATCCTCAAAACACTTGAAATAGTGAATCCTTGTTTTAGAAGGCAAGAAGGAAAAAGAACCTGCACCTTTATTTCTTAATGTCATTTCTAAGCACAAATACAGCAAAAAAAGGGGTTTTACCCATATGAAATTATGCAAATAAAGAAATTATTATGTTGGATTCTTTTTCCTTTTTTTTTCTCCAAGAATAAATACTAATGAACCATGGGTCATAGAGAAATAATTAAGCTTCAAATTGCATTATCTTGGATAACATATCTAATAACCAATCAATATGACATGACACAAAGTGATGAAGAAACTCACCTTTTTATACAATTGCATAAGGTTAGAATCTTCAAAAGGCAAATAACCTGCCATGAGGACAAAAAGAATTACCCCACATGACCACAGGTCTGCCTTTGCCCCATCATAACCTTTATTGTTAATCACCTGGAAAAAAGAACCAAAATAAAGAGAGCCAAATGGAGTTCAAATTAAAGAAAGAAAAACCACTGTTTTATCAGGAAACCAGGCTGCACCCAGAGCCAATATACCTCTGGAGCAACATAATTTGGTGTCCCACATGTTGTGTGAAGTAATCCATCTTCCTGAAATAAAAATGCTTATTAAGTTAAGCAAAGAAATCAGGTTATCTTTTCTTTTTCTTTTGCTATAGTAGCACTGCTAATAATATCAGGCAAGTTTGGACAAGAGTAAGTCCACAGTTTTCCTTATTTAAAATTGAAAATGGTATAAACAATACTTAGCCATTGACAAGGTTTCAAATTTTCAATACTCACACGGACTTGCTGAGATACTGCACTTAATCCAAAATCTGAGACTTTAAGAACTCCATTAGCATCCAGAAGCAAATTTTCAGGCTGTTATAAACAAGTACATCAGATGGACTGAATTTCACAAAATTAATTGATTTCAATAAGCCCAATATTCTGCAGAAGTTATTGCTGTTCCAAAAAGTATATATATTCTGCAGAAGGTACAGTGAAGTGTATATATTTGAGATGTAATGCGAAGCAATAAAGGGAACTAAACATCAAGGCTGAACATGATCTCAAAATCTACCTTTAGGTCCCTATGAAAAACACCTCTACTATGACAGTAATCCACAGCATTGATTAGCTGCTGAAAATATTTTCTTGCTTCATCTTCCTTCAGCCTCCCATGACTAGCCTGGCATGAAGGAGAAAGATGGATAATTTTGAGTTCTTTGGTGCTCACAACAACTTTGATAAAATTCATGGCACAAGTAAAACTGAAGCAGGTCAACATCTTACAATTTTGTCAAAGAGTTCACCACCATTCACAAATTCCAAAACAATGTATATCTTGGTCTTGCTAGCCATCACCTACATCAATATCTCCAACTTTAGTAACACTATTATATATGGAGGCTTCTATACTCAGAAAATTATTACTCAAATAAAGGTAACATTCCAAGTATAGGGCTCTTATGGAAAAATTGTAAATGTATGCTGGAATATCAGAATTCGCAGCCTCGCAGGGAAACTTAAATCCATGAATTAACTAATTGAAAAAAAAAATCCAAAAGATGGAAAAAGGAATAATGAATCAGCAAAAACCACCAAATATATGAAGCACAGGGAGGAAGACCAGCATAATGCAAATATGTTTTATTGGACAAGGAAAAAACGACTATAGTTGTACCTCGTACATGCGTGTGACGTTTGGATGTCTGATCAATTTCATGGTTGAAATTTCACGCTTAATCTGCAAAATTGAACACGAAGAAAACTATTACTGCAACAGATTCTATATCCAGGGACGACAGGAGAAGTTTCACATGCCTGGAAAGTTTACCAGAAGAATTAGAAACAAATAGCAATGACAACCTTATGAATATCATTGCAAAACATAATTAGAACTCAAATTTCAAAAAAAAAAATAAAAAACAAAAAAAACGAAACTAGAAGCATCTTACCAAAACATGTTACATATGGGCGTGATCAGGTGAACTTCAAAAAGGAAAAACCAGTTTGACGATGATAGAATTTAGCACATAAGCATTTTTTTTTCTTCTCTTTCTGATTTTCTTTCCAGGAGAGTCTCAATCAGGATTTTATCGGATTATCGGGAACAATTTTTAGAATATATTTTTAAGTTACGTTGAAAACTAATTAATGAGATACCCAACTCACCAAAAAAACAGAAAAAAAAAACAGCATAAAATTATTAAGTGAAAAAGATTAAGATAAACAAAAAAGAAAAAAAAAAGTCATAGCAAAGATGAAGAAATAAATAACAGATTCAAAGAAAATCAAAAAGATCAATTTCTTTAAATAAGACGGAGGGAAATTTTAAGGGAAAGAAGAGGAAAAAGAAGGTGAAGAGTAAAATTAACAGTACTTGGCCAATCATCTTATGCTTGAGAACCTTCTCCTTATCGAGAATCTTAATGGCAAAATTCTCTCCCGTATCCACATTGTGAGCGAACTTCACCTTCGCAAACGTTCCCTCACCCAGTGTTCGACCCAGCTCGTACTTCCCGACACGAGTTCGGCTGCCACGAGTTGCCATCTTTGATATCTATCTTTCTTTGTTTTCCTTCCGTCCCTTTTCTCTTTCTATGTCGCCTTTGCTGCCCTTTTCACAAATTTCTTCTAAGATCTCTTCTTCTTACAGGGTTGCCACACCTGCGACTTCACCATCTTCATCTCTCCTTCCTTCGGTTGGAACAACCACAAACGGATAAAAGAACCTTCTAACCCCGACCGACTGAAGCTAAGCCTTCCAGAAATCGAAGCAGAGATCTATCGAGAGGCCGAAATCTGCTTGATCTCGTGGCTAGGAAGTCGCAGAGGAAACAGAACGACGATCACGGAGGAGGACGGCAAGAAAAGATTTTCCATGTAAAGCTAAATTTAATCAATCAAATGCTTTAATAACAATTTAAATAAGCGAATATTTCGGATTTTTCATGGCAGATCCAATTGCGGACTCGACATTTTTATCTTTGTCACGAGCGACTTGCAGATATCTCTCAGTGGTTTGTTACGTTTCTTCTTTCGAGCAAAAGAAAATTAGAACTTTTCTTCTTCCTTCTTTCTTCTCTCTGCAAAATTTCTTCTGAATCTCCGGACTTTTATCTCTGACTCTCAGAAGAATGTTCGTGCATATACAAAATTAGAGACACGGATTATTCGATACTCCCTTCCCTCTCCCTCGCCTTCCATTTTTAAATATTACAATACATAATTTCTTTGACTATCTGTTCGGGTTCGGAGTTTAATCCGAGTTTCATGTATTCGTATGTCGAAGTCATGATTTAATCACTTAATGACTTATGAAGACTCAACTCTAATGTCAATGGGTCGGGTTATTTTCACGAGATTCCGGCCAATTTCGGATCCCGTATCTGCGATCGAGTCGGGTCCTGGTCAAACGACGTTATGTATGGAGTCCTTTTATATTGGGTCCTGTATGATCTAGCTTATATACGAGTCGGATTATCGGGTTGATTTGATAGACATTTCTCAGTTTCAGGAAAGTCCAGCCGTCCACAAGGCTTCCAGATCTCCTACCACAACATTGAGAACATCAGAACATGAGATGTGAATTGGGATCTGTTACTCATATAGCGCACCTCACACCGACCTTTATTGGGAATTTTTCTTTGGAAATATCTCCCATTAATAATAACACAAAAGTATGAAAAATGTTTTTGATGAAGGATGATTTTTCCCATTATGATACGTGGTTCCACGAAGCGTCACACACAACTCAACTCACATCTCATTTGATGAGGGTGGATTTGGCCCTCCAATGATATTATGATACATGGTACTTCGGAACAATTAGGTGATACCCGGAGCCATTTTGGCAACAATTTGCCTTAATCAAGTTGATGGTGTCCCACCTGGCGGCCTGGCACAGACGCAACCTGGCTCTGGCACAACCTGGCATCCTGGCACAGGCGCAAGCTGGCAACCTGGCACTGGCACGACCTGGCGGCCTGGCCCTGGCACAAGCTGGCAGCCTGGTACAGGCGCGACCTAGCGGCCTAGCATAGGCACCGACTTGGCGGCCTGGCCTAGGCGCAACTTGGCAGCCTGGCACAGGTGCCGACCTGGCGACCTGGCACATGCGCCAACCTGGCGACTTGCAAGACGTGCTCGTCGACGAATTCGGCATGCATATCCAAACACTCCCACGATCCTTGGAAGTTGGCCCACGTGCCGAACGATCCAGAGGGTGGTCAACGTGCATGGAGGTTACCTCAGGGAATCTCGGACCACTTACACGACTTCTCAGAAATCTCAGATGCGGTGCATGAAGCCCACGCCAAACAATTCATATATAAAGGTACCAACCCCAATGGCATAGGGGAGCAAGTAAGCATATTCTAGCTCTCATACTTTGTGATTTTTAGCTCGCAATCTACTATGGAAGTACTGACTTAAGCATCGGAGCGACCTCGCCGGGTTAGCCACCCCGGGTCCTCTGACGTTTGGTTCCTTGCAGGTCTCTAAAGAGCAACGAAGCTCATCAATCCAGATCGGCACCTAGGCAGCTCGGCACCTGGTCAGCTCGGCACCTGGTCAGCTCGACACCTCACAGGTAGCCCGGCATCTCACAGGCAGCTTGGCACCTAGGCAGCTCGACACCTCACAGGCAGCTCAACACCTGGTCAGCCCGGCACCTTACATGCAGCTCGCCACCTGGTCAGCTCGGCACCTCATAGGCAGCTCGACACTATAGTCAGCTCGCCACCTAGCCTGCCCAGCTCGATTCCGCTCGGCAGCCAAAGTTCTCCACTTCGGCCTGAGTCATCGGCCACTTGGAAGCAGACCAAATGATGAGGTACTTAGCCAAAAAATCAATACATCAATAAAAATCGATTCATCAATTGGCGTCGTTTGTGGGAAATGCTACAAAAAGCTAAGTTCTCACCTATTAGAAACTAAAAGTTCTCACTTTCTAGTTTCATTTTTTATGAACTCAAAGATTATGCAGGAAGTTGATGGACAACAAACTAAGCAGCTCTACCAACTTTATTTCAACTCAGATAAAGCCTCATTAGTCCTCTTCGCGAGGTACCCTCTACAAAGATGAGCTCTTTTGGCTTCCACAGGAGTAGGCGGCCAACAGACTACATGGACGCCCCTGCCGATCGAGCCTTCCAAGGCTCTCATGCGAGTTGGTGACCTAAAGTTAGTAGTGCTGCCCCCATAGGTCGAGCTCCTAGTAGCTTCTTGTAGGAGTGGGTAACCGACGTCACTAACGAGACTGATGCAGCGCAGTCGTAGCTCTAAGGCGTCGGCTTGGCCCAGGCGCGACTTGGCAGTCTGGCACAAGCACCGACCTGGCGGCCTGGCCCAGGCACGACCTGGCAGCCTGGCACAGGCGCGACCTGGCCTTGGCACAAGCACGGCCTGGCGTGGCAAGCTGATAAAAGACTTCGGCTCCACAAAAGACCCAGTCACCTCTTCGACATGGGCAAAATCAAAGATCAATGAGAGTGGACTACGAGTCGCTCCCAGAGCCTAAGGGCTAATGTGCCGAATTGGCAAAGACTTCGGCACCACATAAGGCCCATTCGCCTCTTCAGCATGGGCAAGATCAAGGAGAGTGGACTACGAGTCGCTCTCGGAGCCTAAGGGCCAAAATACTGAACTAGCAAAGACTTCCTCACCACATAAGACCCAGTCGCCTCTTCGGCATGGGCAAAATCAAGGAGTGAACTATGAGTCGCTAGCCTAAGGAATTGAATCGACGCTTACGAGCTCATCGAATTATTCATTCCGGGACAAAAGGAGAAATTTACTCCCTTCACCGAGTTACTTTCAGCTCGAGAGTGGGGGGCAAATGATGAGGGCGGATTTGGCCCTCCAATGATATTGTGACACATGTCACCTCGAAACAACTTGGTGACACCCAAAACCACTTTGGCAACAACTTGCCTTAGCCAAGTTGATGGTGTCCCACCTAGCGGCCTGGCACTGGCGCGACCTGGCGGCCTAGCCCTGGTGCGAGTTGGCAGCCTGGCATAGGCGCGAGCTGGCAGCCTAGCACTAGCATGACCTGGCGGCCTGGCCCTGGCGTGACCTGGCAGTCTGGCACAGGCGCGATCTGGTGGCCTGGCACAGGCGCGACCTAGCAACCTGGCACATGCGCCGACCTGGCGACCTGGCACATGCGCCGACCTGGCGACTTGCAAGACGTGCTCGCCGACGAATTCGACATGCATATCCAAACACTCCCACGATCCTTGGAAGTTGGCCCACGTGCCAAACGATCCAGAGGGTGGTCAACGTGCATGGCGATTACCTTAGGGAATCTCGGACCACTTACACGACTTCTCAGAAATCTCGGATGCAGTACGTAAAGCCCACGCCAAACAATTCCTATATAAAGGCACCAACCCCAATGACATAGGGGAGCAAGTAAGCATATTCTAGCTCTCATACTTTGTGATTTTTAGCTCGCAATCTACTATGAGAGTACTGATTTAAGCATCGGAGTGACCTCGTCGGGTTAGCCACTCTGAGTCCTCTGACATTTGGTTCCTTGCAGGTCTCTAAAGAGCAATGAAGCTCATCAATCCAACTCGGCACCTAGGCAGCTCGCCACCTAGTCAGCTCGACACCTGGCCAGCCTGGCACCTCACAGGCAGTCTGGCACCTCATAGGCAGCTCGGCACCTGGTCAGCCCGACACCTCACTGGCAGCTCGGCACCTGGTCAGCCTGGCACCTCACAGGCAGTTCTCCACCTGGTCAGCTCGGCACCTCATAGGCAGCTCGACACTATAGTCAGCTCGCCACCTAGCCTACCCAGCTCGATTCCGCTCGGCAGCCAAAGTTCTCCACTTTGGTCTGAGTCATCAGCCACTTGGAAGTAGACCAAATGACGAGGTACTTAGCCAAAAAAATGATTCATCAGCATCCATCACATACTCTTCGGCACCACCTTGTCAAGTCGGATTGTAGATAGATTGGCCGATGTGGGGTCAATGTCTAAGGTGACCTACCTCCACTGATCTAGTAGATATTCAGCCCTACCTTGGTAGGTCGGGTTGAAAATAGACCGGACATATTAGGTCAACATAGGAGGCGACTTGCCTCTGTCGACCTAGTAAAGATTTATGGCGTGATAGGTGACCTCCTCGTAGAGCGAGCTACCGCTTCCGACCTTTCCAGGATCATGACGCCACATTGATGGAGCTAACTACTGCCCCCGCCCTCTTCGGGCATGATTGGATAAGGACTTCCTGCTTACACGGAGTCCACCTATGAGCGTGAAACCACTCCCGAATCAGACGGACCGAAGATCTCGGATGCACATCATGGAGCTTACGGCAGCCAGCTTATATAAAAGCATCCCTCTCCTCAGAAAAGGTGCATGTGATTTAGCATTCACAGTTCTCTAGCTCTCTCTAAACTCTTCATTGACCTAAGCATTGGAGTGTCCACCCCAAATAAAACAACCCGAGTACTCTTATACTGTTCTTGTACAACTCAACCTGGCAAATTCACCAACCTAACATCCGAGCTATCATGTAGCAGGGAATTGCCAAATCGCAAACCATCCTATAGCAAATTCACCAACCTAACGCCTCATAGGCGCTTCACACGCACATCCTATCATGCATTGGGAACATCTCCCGTATTTATTAGTTATTATTTACAGGAAATGTTCCCAATGCATGATGGATGTTCATGTGAGGCACTCTGTGAGGAGCAGATCCCATCACGGATGTACCTATGAGATGGGTGATTGGATAAGGACTTCCTACTTACACGAAGTCCACCTATGAGCGTGAAACCACTCCCGAATCAGATGGACCGAAGATCTCGGATGCACATCATGGAGCTTATATAAAAGCATCCCTCTCCTCAGAAAAGGTGCATGTGATTTAGCATTCACAGTTCTCTAGTTCTCTCAAAACTCTTCATTGACCTAAGCATTGGAGTGTCCACCCCAAATAAAACAACCCGAGTACTCTTATACTGTTCTTTTACAACTCAACCTGGCAAATTCACCAATCTAACATCCGAGCTATCATGTAGCAGGGAATCGTCAAATCGCAAACCATCCTATAGCAAATTCACCAACCTGACGCCTCATAGGTGCTTCACACGCACATCCTATCCTGCATTGGGAACATCTCCCATATTTATTAATTATTATTTACAGGAAATATTCCCAATGCATGATGG